CGGTTCTATGCTTTCGTAATCTAGCATTTTATGAAGATCGTTCAAATGCTCAATTCGACGATTTATAAATCTCTTTCGAATAATCGCACATCACACGCTCGTTCGGTTTTAAAAAGAATTTTATATTATTAGTAACTGACGTGATCAAAAAGTTATATTTTTATCATACTTCTGGAAAGATGTAAACAACCATTTCTTCAACAAGATATATATAAAAGACAAAAATAAAGTATAAAAATATCTTTGAATAGAATAGTTTCGCCATATACGCCAAGAATTAGAAATAAAGAATCATTTTTTTATTTTGCTTTTCAACTAGTTCTATTAAAAATATAGCGTATTTTATCATATTAAAAAAAGATAGAACGTGAGTGATAAGATTCTGCTTTTAAACATGTGACAATGCTTATGTAATTGCTGTAAAATGTTTTTATGAGACATAACAACTAACAATAAGACGCATATTTGAATGCTATACGTACTACAGAATTCTAGCAAAGTTTGTTTAGAACAAAAAAAAATTTTTTTAAGAAGAAACTGAAGTATTAAATTGTAATGCAAAAATATATACATTTGAAGTAAAATTATGTTTAAAAAAATCTTTGAAATTTTATCAAACTTTCTCAAAATTGCCGTTTAATCGGTCACATTTAATATGAAGCGACGAAATGAGATAATTTTTCACGTTTTTCACGTTTTTCACGAATAATATATAATCAGTCATGCAAAAATGTTTATTCACAACGAAAATTCGGAAAATACATGATCTAATTACCGTTGAATTAAATCCAAGTTACATAGCGAAGATTGAAAGTAATGTTGCTTTATATGCGTATACAAGCTAAAATGGTCTTCGGTAGAAACTAGTGTTTCTTCTATGGACGTAGGGAAACTAAGGAAAATATATACCGGTGTAGCAAGCCTTCGAGTATCAAATTGCTGCTAGCGAAGGACCATTTAAGGCCTCGCACCATAAGCAATACCGCATGGTGATGAAACTCTATCTGCAATTTCGATAGATCGAAACGATTAATGTGTTACGTCTGCTAGTCGAACAATCATTATTCGCATTTATGCTAATAAGAAGAGGTACTATATTATTATTATATATTACTTGTAACATTTCACGCTTAGTTTGCATCATAATAAGCAAAATAATAATTTTTTTATACGTGGAAAAGGAAAAAGGGGAAGAGGCGGAAAGAAAGAAATTTTGAAATCTGCGAATTCAGCTTGTTCAGAATTCAATTTATTCTGTTAAATGAAACAAATTTTCCTCTACCATATGCATATATATATGGCGAGAAAGAAGTTTGCGAAGTACATTAAAGTTTTTCACCATTTCATAAATTTTTATTCGATAAGCCAAATCCATGTGCGCACGAAATAAATTACGGATAAATCGTTGACGTGTTTCTTTATATTTTATTTTATTTAAAATTGATTTTACTTTTTAGTCGGATGATTTTATCTCATCAATAATGCGTCATGATCATAGTACTACTTTTTTTCATACTACTAAAAAAATTTCATATCATATATCATATCATATACGATAGCATCAGTTACAAATAACATTAATTTTTTCAAATTTATTTCCCCGGCAATTTATTCAGCACAATAACAGGATATCATGTCCAATGAATCAAATCAGACTTGAAGGAAGCAGTGATAAGATCCGCACGTCTTGTAATCAAAGAAATTCTGATTAACCGCATCTCGATCCTGTAATTTCATATGCATCAAACGATCGTTTGAATACGCATAATCGAGGATCATTATTGCAGCAATGAAAACTGCATATTTGAAGTTGCGGATATCTCATGGTCTTTTGGTGTAGATAATCCTACAATTATTATTGTTGACTATCGATGTTCGATATTAAAATATAATTTGACAGAAATTTTAAGCGCAGTTAATACCAGCTAATGCGGTAAAAAGATTAAGATACCAATATTGACATCTTTTTAGCCGATCGTATTGACAAGATCGTGTATTTTGTGAATACATCACTGTGGTCACTTTATTCCAAGATTTCGTGCGTTCGAAAAGAACGAGTGAGAAAAACCATTTCATGTTTCCCTCGCAGGTAGAAAAATGTGAATGAGACACGCATAAAGAGAAGGATCTACATGCAACCGAGAGAGAAAAAGAATCAGGAGTTAAGGAGATTTAAGTGTGACGAAAGGAAAACTATCAGGATAAAAGAGCCTTTCCCTTTCGTTGGTACAGCAAGACAAGATTTTTGGCTGGAATGTTTTGAATTTTCAAATTCTGTGATGACGTAAATGATCTTTACAACCAGTGGACGATACTTTCGAATCAGTATAATACCTGACTCGGTTTCACAATCTGGTTTGACTTCCAAACTTGTACCAACAAACCTAGTGAACATTCTGAAACGTTTCGTGAAGAAAAATTTGTACGTGTACATATACAATACACACGTGGCTGAAGAAAACGACTCTTATTGTAAACTAAATCACATAACGTGCTTGAAAATGCAGAATTATTTTTAATTATCGCTTTTAATACATTTTCATGACTGAGAAATTTAACAATATCATTAGATTTCGATTTCACTGGCATATTTTAACGATATCCATGGCGCCATCGATTAAGCCGATAATAAATATCGATCTTCTTTTTAAACAGCCATCATTAGTTTGAGTTAATGATGAGGATTTAATATGAGCGACAACTATCGGCGATTCGCGCCCAAGACGTTTGTATCGCCTCGTTCATCGTGGTTAATTTTATAAAACGGATAATGGATACGCCTGTGTAATACCGCGATATAAGGCAACGCCGCACCACTCTTGCGAGGCTGCCGCTGGAAAGACGCTCGATGAGCGTGATTGTCTGAAACCTACACTCTCGCACACGCATACGTATCATTCTAAACATCCGTGACACGTAACGAGGTCTTCGCCTCGCATTCATCGACAAGCATACAGACCGCTCGAGCGTAACCAGTGTTGTCGGACTTAAGAATTTTCCGCTATGCATAGGGAGCTTTCACGTACCCGACCTTGAACGCAAGTTTGTCCTGAGAATTTCGAAAATGTAGAGAAATAGAACGTAATGAAGGAAATAATTTTGAAATAGAAATTTGATTTTTAAATTATTTTCTCATTAAATTAAAAAATTGACACTGTTGAATTCTTGAACGCATTCTTAAATATTTATTAAGGTTTTCGGTGTAATGTATTTTGTAATTGTATTCATTGTGTTTGGAGGAGAAATTCTTTTCAATTCCATTCTGTCGCATTTGCGAACATTTCTTACGAGCGTAATCAGGTGTAGACGCTTACGCGAGAAACACGCGCGGCCTAAACGTGAAATCCCGTTTCGACGTTCCCGATCTACGACTGCTGGACCGCCTGAGAGAGGAGACGTGTCTTGGGAATGTATTAACGGAACGTGCGCGCGTCCGTACATGCGGTACATTTTTCTCACTATACGTCACGTGGTATAAATCTGGAATGCCTATTTGTCACGCTCGGTTTTGGCTGCTTTGGTTTTGGCTTTGGCGAAGCCACAGAACCTTGCGCGTTTATCGTGCGACACGAACGCTGCCAATATGCTCGTTTAAAAGTGATGACTTTGTATACAATTGAACGGTATAACGTCTTCGTATAATTCGATACATTTTACATATCGGTGGTCCTGCCGTAGCTATCTACAGAGTGTTTTACCTAACTCGATTATCTGAACCATTTCTGTTGCTATTAATAGAACATGACAAGAAAAATGAAAAACTTGATAAAAAAAAGATAAGAAGAAGCGTAAGGAAGTTTTTGAAAGGTCAAACTTATTATGTGTGAAAAAAATTAATAAATCGTAAACTGTTTGATTTATTTTTACATCAGTTGCAACATATAATAAAATTCAGATCTTTAAATTGTGAAAATGGATCTTTGTTAATAAAAATTTAATTTGATTATATTTATCTTTTCGAATTGGCAAATAATTTCTTTATGCATTTCGTGCACTTTTTTCGCATTTCTTACAAGTTCCTTGCATTTTCTTATATCGGCAATAACGAAGATATTTTAGGTCAAGTTAGGGACATTTCATATATATTTTCTTACAGATGTAAAAGATTTGCATGAGGACGTGCATTTTAAACGTAGGCTGAATGCAAAATTACGAAGAAAAAAAGAATCAAGAGATACGGTAGTGTCTCGCGTTTAGTTTTACAAGATTGTGAAAGTATCACCGTGCAAACTATCGCTAAGGTACACGCTGCTATGATTCGGTAGCGGAACGCAGATTACCCCACGAGAGTGCCCCCGCTCGTCTCGGTGTCGTCTGCAACGCGCGTTCACGCGAGGAGCCTGTCCTACTCGGAGACGACGAACTCGCGCATCTACATGCCGTACAGCCGACGTGTCATCGGAAACGTATCGACACAGGCACGCATACCTGCCGGTGCATAAGTTCTCCGCTGGCACACACGTACGAACACTCACACTCAGCCGTCGGCTGTGTGCGCGTCTCGGTAGCGACGACACAACGACGGGAGCAGCCGAGACACACAACGGAAGACGGAGGATGACGTCGTGGCGGAAAGAGCGGCGGGCGACGAGCAGAAAGAGACAGAATGAGAAAGAGAGGATAGGATGGGTGATGTGCAACGGAGATGGCGACAGACGCCGCCAGTTTCTCGGATCTCGGAGCAGCCAGCACGAGGACGAGAGAAGAGGACAGCGGTGTGGTGAACGAGAGAAGGGCGGAGGGGTGAAGGCAGAAGGACCTTTCCCTCTATCGTTGTGGCTCCACCCACACGCCACTGCCGCCGCCGCCACCGCCGCCGCCGCCGCCGCCGCCGCCGCCACCGCCGCCGCCGCC